TCAATTCATTGGTATAATGTGCTTGTCGCGCAAATATGAATGCATCTAACATAATATTTTACATAATGTGTTTGTATATGTGTGTGTGTATGTCTGTGTATGTTTATGAGGATCTATATTATTCCAAAGAAAATAATTTTATGCTTGCTTGTATTGCTGTAACATCAATCGATTAATGTAATTCGTTTTAATTTCCTTCTTTCTTCTACTCCTGTTCTTAATCGATGTGAGTGTGTATGTATATATATATATATATACACCCCGTCTAAATTCACGTATATACATAAACACGTTACCCTTTTACATACATTCGTACAATCGTATGGTTTAAATTTGAATATTTTAAAAACACTTCACCATTGCACTTTCATCGAAATAATTTAATAATCATTTTGATCGATTTAAATAGAGATAAGAAATTAGTTAAATGACTTCCGACTATACTACATTATCAGTTTCATTTATTCTTTACATGTAAACACGAGTTTATTGTTGAAAATAATTTTAATTGATCGAAGAAATTTTCTAAATTACACAAATCTCATAATAGCTTTATATTATAAAGCTAAAAAAAAGAAAAAAAAAAAATAAAACCGTTTAGATTTATCTTAATGATTGACAAGTGCAATGTTGAGGAAGACTATTATTGCGTTTAATTATTTATTAGTTATAAAAATAAAAGCAATAAAGATCACAAAATGTACGCTGTATTTTTAATTCGCTGATCGTTCTCGTTGCTTCGTTCGTATGCTACTTAAGACTGTCCCTCTGTTGTTCTTTTTTCATATACACCCTGTAGTTTTTTTCATCCCCACTCACATACACTCTTACATACTTATAAGGTTATCCTTATTACTTATTGCTTTTATTTATTTTTTATTTATTTGACTATCTTATTCACGTTGCATTTCCATTTTAATCTTTCACTTTCAATATCTCAGTCACTTTTTTTCCTTTTATAAAATAATTGTACCTTAAGAAAGAACAGATCATTTTTTTGTGTTCGATCGAATTTGTTTCATATGCACAAGCACACAACTAATTAATCCTTGAATCATCCATCATTACGTTTGACTATTTATAAATTTATTTATCTCAGATAAATGACCAACTGGCATTAGAATATTTCAATTCATAATACTGATAATATTTTTCAAATTAATTTAATTAAAAATTACATTAATCGATATAATTACATATACAATAAAATCGTTTAAAAAGATGTTCAATTTATGTCAGTCATTTAATTCAATTGTAATGACAGAAAATAGAATATATATTAAATAATTTCGTTTTATCTGATTAATAAACATTAATAATTTGCTTAATGGTGAAAAATTGAAATATTAGGAAAGAATTAAAATATTTACAAATTGTTTGAACGATTAATATAATGAAGAAATTACATCTCAACAGTGTTTAATAATGTAAAAACTTAGATATAGGTAAGGATATTTCTATTTCATTAAGAAATTACAAGCGTAATATATAAAAATTCATTGAGAACGAATATTAACGTAATAGTTAATACTTCATGAGTTGTTATTTGTGATTAATTTATTCCTTTACAATATCTTTTAATTAACGATTCTTTCATTTTATATCATAAAATTCTGACAATTCAATTTATTGAATGACAATTAGTGCATCAATGTCTGATTTTCTTCCTTTTGTATACAAAAATACATCTTTCTATGATCAAAATAGAAATACTTAAAATAATACCAATTAGGACATAAAAAATAAGTGATATTACACTGATTATGTACACCGGTTGATGCATGATCATATTATTGGATTTTTCTTCAGATATCTTATCTCTTATACGATTATTCATTCCGCTATTGATAAATTTCTTTAAACTGAAATGAGTTTTGTGAATTAACATACGTCACATGATTATTAATATTATTAGATAATTATCTCCTTACTGAGTATTAATGACGTTGGTAAATTGATTGTGTTTTGATAAAATTATAGCAATTACATTTACGCGATCCGTTTCAATGGCAATAATTTTACATGGCATTTTACGAATTATAATGTCTTTTAATAAACCTGACGTATAAAGTGCTAGTTTATGATTTTTACAAATCTATAATTAAAAAGCAAAATATTATTAATGAAACCATACGTATATATATATATATATACATATTTAATCTCATTATTGTTCATTATATTTCATAAATACTTACATTCATAAATCCTTCGAGTACAGATACTGGCAACTTATCCTCGTCTAACATCAACTTCATTATTTTCTTTTCAAGCGGATCATTCGAATTCTAGAAATAAATATTCTCATTCATGAGAACAACGTTAATAATAAATATCATACTCACTGCGAACAAATCATAATCAGACGAATCGCGTAAAACGGAAAGTTGATAAGTGCCGTCTTCAGCGAAGCTCTCTAATGAATGAAATGGTAATTTGCAGACACCGGCTGTTAAAAAGCTCGTCAATGACGCAGAATATGCGGCCGATAAAACCACAGCCAAAAGGAATATAGAAAAGTAAGCTATTCTTAATGAAAATCTATCAGGAATATCTAAAACAAACGTATACTTTTTATAAATATAATTGTTAATATAAAAATTGAGAATAATTGAAAAGAAAAAAAAATGAAGAATATTGTCGAATAATACCTGATACTCCCTGTTGACAAAATATACCCCAAACCTCTAGAAAATTGTCAGATAATAATTGTCCTATGTTACGATTATTTTCATCCCTTATTTTGAGAAAAATCAATAAAATCGATGCAACGATTAATAATCCAAATATAGCTATCCAAATTGATTGAGAGAAAGTCTAAGATAAAAAATTCATTTGAGTTAATTAACATACGAAAAAGTAAATTAGAATAATAATTCGATCTTTTATGTTATCGTACTTCAAAATATGATGACCATTTAATCGTAAATGTTTCTGGTTCCTTTATGAAAAAACAATGACGGCCGACGAAAAGGGGAAACGTGAAGTCAACGGCATTCAATCTAGCATTTGTCATAGCAAATTCCGATAGGCCAATGTCAGCACGTTTAGCGTATAATTCACCGACGGCACCGGTCCAAGTGTTTTCTATTGGATTCCATCTTCCGTAAGTTTCTACCTTCGAGACAATTTTAAAATTAAAATTCAAACTAATAGAAATTTCTCTTAACATTCTACCCAATACGCCGTCTAATTTGCCAATCTCGTTTATATATATTGTCGGTGAAGACTATAGAAGAAAAATGAAATAATAATGAGTATTCATTTCGAATAGAAAATAGGTATAAGACATTTATGGATCGACGAAAAAATATTTTACCTTAACCAAAACGGCTCTCATGGTCAAACCATGTAAATTATATCTTCTTTCGTAAACAGAACCTGAAACTAGTTTAGTGATTCCTTTCTCTAAACTCCAAGTTGCGAAATTATCGATTTGGGTTTGATTCGAGTCAATGGAATACCATTCTCTTAGAATATTTTCCGTACCACAACGTACCAATATTTCCGAATCGAATCTCAAATGAAATATATTACCTGGTGGATTATGACAATAATCGGGATCATGTCCCTCGTAAGTGAATAAAATCAGCCATACAGCAAAGGACATGTCGAAGGTACTGGTCGCTAAGGAGAACTCATTAATGTCGTTATGATTAGATATAATCACGATATAATGTGGCCTTACGATTCGATTAATGTAATAGGATGATTTGTGTAAATCCGAAAAATAAAATTTCGTTGTCATTAAACCTTCTCGAGAAAGTGCACGCGTCCATTTGAACATCGTCGTTGTCATTTCCATTTCTGACGAAAAATAAACTAAAGTTAATAAAAATGAAGTAAAAAAAGAAAAATGAGAATATATTTTCGTACCTTTTATTAATTTCGAATACGAGAAAATTATTGATTTTGTTCCGTATTGTTTGCAAATGTCGATCATTAAATGTACGTGTTCATCGCGGGTTAATAATTTTTCATACGATCTTGCGATTTTCGGAAGTAGAAAAAGAACAACGAGAACCTTTAATCGTCCAACATACGTCATTTTTTTTTTTATAATTGATATGTAACAGCGATAAACGAATTGATCAAATTATTCTAATCGGTTGATAGCTTTAAATGAATTTCATGAAATGGTTTTCGTGTGACGTCGAAAGAAGATCGCAAGAAACTAAATTCCTCAATTCGTTGGTATAATGTGCTTGTCACATGAATATGAATGTATTTAACATAATATTTGACATAACATGTATATGTGTGTGTGTGTTTGTGTATGTAAGGGTCTTTATTATTCCAAAGAAAATAATTTTATGCTTGCTTGAACTCGGTCTAACATCAATCGGTTAATGAAATTACTTTTAATTTCTTTCTTTCCTTTACTTCTATAATTAAACGATGTGACTGAGTGTGTGTATATATATATATATATATATACACACACACACAAGTTACCTTTTTACTTATTGTTACGAACGTATGTTTAGAATTTGAATGTTTCAAAAATAATTTTAATTTTTTCACGTTCGCACTTTCATCGAAATAATTTAATAACCATTTTAATTGATATAAACGAGATGATGAATTGATTTAATAATTTCCATTTATTTCATTCTACATTTTAATTATTCTTTACGCATAAACGCTTGTTGTTTATCGTTGATAATAATTTTAATCGATTAAGAAGATGTTTTTGAAGTTAAAAAATCTGATAATAACTTTATATTGATAATATATTTATTGAAAAATATAAAAAAATGTATTTTGCAAAGTTTTGCATCATTAATATAATTAAGAAATTGCATTTTAATTTAAAACAGTGCTTAATAATGCAAAAGTTTAGATATAGTTGAGCATATTTCTATTCCATTAGGATATTAGAAGTATAATATATAAAAATTCATTGAAAATGAATATTAACGTAATCGTTAATAATTCGTGAGTGCTCATTTGTGATTAACTTATTCATTTACGATATATTTTAATACGATTCTTTCATTCTACATCAGAAAATTTTGACATTTCAATTGATTGGATACAATCGATGTACCATCGACATTTTTAACCTTTTACGAGCAAAAATACATTTTTCTATGATCAAAATACAAATACTTAAGATAATACCAATTAGGACGTAAAAAAAAAGTGATATTATAGTGATTATATACACCGGTTGATGCTTGATCATATTATTGGATTTTTCTTCATATATCTTATCTCTTATACGATTATTCATTCCATTGTTGAGAAATTTTTTTAAACTGAAACAAGTTCTGTAATTTAACATCAAATTAATATTAACATTATTAAAAAATTGTGTACTCACTTAAAATTGAAGACATTGGTAAATTGATTGTGCTTAGATAAAATGATACTAACTGCATCTATACGTCCTGTATTAATCGAAACAATTTTACATGGCATTTTATGAATTATATCTTTCAGTAAGCTTATCGTGTAAAGCGCTAGTTTATGATTTTTACAAATCTATAATTTAAAAACAAAATATTATTAATTAAACCATGTTTATATATATATATATATATATATAAATATATAATTTCATTAGAATTTATTATATTTCATAAATATTTACATTCATAAATCCTTCCGGTATAGATACTGGCAACTTATCTTCGTCTATCATCAACTTCATTATTTTCTTTTCAAGCGGATCATTCGAATTCTAGAAATAAATATTCTCATTCATGAGAACAACGTTAATAATAAATATCATACTTACGGCAAATGTATCATATGCAGCTGAATCACGTAAAACGGAAAGTTGATAAGTACCATCTTCAACGAAGCTCTCTAATGAATGAAATGGTAATTTGTAGATGCCGGTTGTTAAAAAACTCGTCAATGACGCAGAATATGCGGCCGATAAAACCACAGACATAAAGAACATAGAGAAGTAAGCTATTCTTAATGAAAATCTATCAGGAATATCTAAAACAAACGTATACTTTTTATAAATATAATTGTTAATATAAAAATTGAGAATAATTGAAAAGAAAAAAAAATGAAGAATATTGTCGAATAATACCTGATACTCCCTGTTGACAAAATATACCCCAAACCTCTAGAAAATTGTCAGATAATAATTGTCCTATGTTACGATTATTTTCATCCTTTATTTTGAGAAAAATCAATAAAATCGATGCAACGATTAATAACCCAGATATAGCTATCCAAAGAGATCGAGAGTAAGTCTAAGATAAAAATTCATTTAAGTTAATTAAGATAGGAAAAAGTGAATTAATAATTCGAATAATTAAAGAATAATAATTCGATCGTTTATGTTATCGTACTTGAAAATAAGATGACCATTTAATCGTAAATATTTCTGGTTCCCGTATGTAAAAACAGATAGGGGAGACGAAAATGGGAAACGTGAAATCAACTGCATTCAATCTTGCACTTGTCATACTGAATCCTGACAAAGAAATGTCTGCACGTCCAAAATATAATTCGCCAATTGCACCAGTCCAAATGTTTTTTTCTGAATTCCATCTTCCATACGTATCTATCTCTGAGACAATTTCAAAAGTACAATTCAATGTAATACTAAATTCCCCAAACATTCTACCGAGTAAACCATCTAATTCGCCAGCCTCGTTTATGTATACGAACGGTGAAGTCTAAAAATGTAAGATCTACAATGAAATGAAAATTCTACGAATCTAAAAATGACGAATCCATCGTAATGGAAAATAAATAATATATCTAGAATGAAAATATTTTACCTTAACTAAAACTGTTTTCATAATTAAACCCTTTAAATTCTTTTTTCTCTCATTATGATGTTGTATATCTAAAACCATTCTACTAATTCCTTTCTCTAAACTCCAACTAGCTATATCTTGGATTTCGGTACGATTAGTATTAATCGTATACCACTCTCGTAAAATGGTTTCCGTACTGCAACGTACTATCATTTTCGAATCGAATCTCAAATGAAATATATTACCTGGTGGATTGTGACAATAATCGGGATCATGTCCCTCGTAAATGAATAAAACTACCCATATAGAAAAGGTCATGTCAAAATTTTTAGTCACCAAAGAGAATTCATTAATATCATTGTGATTAGATATTATTACGATGTAATGTGGTTGTACAACTCGGTTTGCGTAATACATTGATTTGTGCAAATCCGAAAAATAAAATGTCGTTGACGTTAAACCTTCTCGAGAAAGTACACGCGTCCATTTGAACATTGTCGTTGTCATTTCCATGTCTGATGTAATATAAACTGAAGTTAATAAAAATAAAGTAAAAAAGAAAAAAAAATGGAGAATATATTTTCGTACCTTTGAATTTCGAATAAGAGAAAATTATAGATTTCGATCCGTAAAATTTGCAAATATCTATGATCAGATGAATGTGTTCGTCGCCGATTAATAATTGTTTGTACGATCTTGCGACTTTCGGAAGAAGAAAAAGAACAATGAGAATCTTTAATCGTCCAACGTTAGTCATTCTTTTTTTGTCGTATATGTCCAGAGATAAGAGTATTAATCAAATTTTATAAATTGTACGTTCTACGACGAAATTCGAAATTCATTCAACGAAGTTCTCTAACGAAATTCGTGAGAAAAATTTTAACGTTACGACGAAGGATGATCGCAACCAACTAAATTTCTAAATTAGTAAGAGTGACATATTGCTACTAGGTTTATCATAAGAATCGCTTGTTATAAGAATTGAAGTATATGTAACGTAAGGTTAATTTATTTATATGTGTAGAACTATAGTCTTCCAAAGGAAATAATTTTATGCGTGCCGGCAATGAGATAACATCGATCGATTGATAAAATTCATTTTAATTTTCCTTTTCCTTTCATTTTTCTTCTTCCTTAATGCGTGTGTGTGTATGTGTATATATATATATATATATATATACATATATCTACATTCATGTATATACAAATGCATATTACCATTTTATACACATCCATACAGGAAATTATAATGTCTTAGAAATTACATTGCACTTCCATCAAAATAATTTAATAGCCATTCTAATCGATATGAAGAATTGATCGATAAGCACTTGACAAAATGATTAGTTCACATTACGCGATATATTTTAATTATTCTTTCTTTGCAAACGTGGAATATAATAAAAAAAAAAAAAAAAAAAAAAAAAAAAAATAATGTATAGTGGAAAATTATTATAATCGATTAAAATGATATTCAATTCAAATCAATTTTCCCATTGCAAATGTAACATTTAAAAATGTAATATTTCTTAAACAATTTATGTTTTACAATATATATATATATATATATATATATATATATATATATATATATAAAAATTTGTAATAGTGTATGTGCGTGATAATAGATTTTGATAGCTATGGTAGAATATTTCACATGTTGGTACGATTAAAATATGATTGACTTGATATTTGAATATTGTGTTTATTGAAAAGGCCAAAAATAAAAAAAAAAAGAAAAAAAAACACTATTCAATTATACCGAGTTATTGGCGAATGGTACATAAAAATTTGCCGAAGTTAATTCTTTTTCTTATTTTGATTAATAAATTATCAATAATTCGTCCAAGGACGAACAATCGAAATAATACGAAATAATTAAAATTTAATTCGACGAAAAAAAGAAAATATTTTATATACACGTTTTTACACGTTTAATACGATTAAAAAAATACAATTTCAATTAAATACAATGCTAAATAAATGCAAAAAGCTTAAATAAATATTTCAGGATATTTCTATTCCATCAAGAAATTACAAGGACATATAAAAAGTCATTGAGAATGAATATTAGCGTAATCGTTAATACTTCATGAATCAATATATTTCATTAATGTATTTCTATACGATATTTTTTTAATACGATTCTTTCTTTTTTGCATTTTACAAAAAGACGCTTTAATTGATTGGATATGATCTATGTACCAATGACATCTTTTCCCTTTTTTTACGTGCAAAAATATATCTTTCTACGAACAAAATACAAATACTTAAAACAATACCAATTAGGATGAAGAATATAAGAATTATTACACTGGTTATGTCAACCGGTTGATGTTTGATCGTATCATTCGATCCATTTTGAAATAACTCGTCCTTTAAACGATTTATCATTCCATCGTTAAAAAATTTCTGTAAGCTTAAATAATTTCTTGTTTGATTAAATTATAAGTCAATATTAATCGATAAATTTGTACTTACTGAAAATTGATGACGTCGGTGAATTGATTGTTTTTAGATAAAATCATCGAAAATGTATCGACACGTCCTGTTTCAATAGGAACAACTTTGCATGGTATTTTATGATTTACACTATTCTTTAGAATGTCAGACGTGTAAAATGCTAGTTTACGATTTTCACAAATCTATAATTTAATTATTTGTATGTAATAATGAAATTATTAATTATTACATGTCTATATAAATGCAAAAAAGATGAAAATATATTTTTAAATGTATAAAACTTCTTCGTACTTTTGTAAATCCTTCGTGTACATTTATTGGCAATTTTTCGTCCTCCAGCATCAACTTCATCAATTTCTTTGCAAGCGGATCTGCCGAATTCTATAAATAAATATTCTCATTGGATAGGAACAACGTCGATAGTCGGTATCATACTTACTGCAAATAAATCATATTCAGCTGAATCATAAGGTACTGAAAGTTGATAAGTACCATCTTCAACGAAGCTCTCTAATGATCGAAAGGGTAATTTGCGAATACCGGACGTCAAATAGCTTATCAAAGAGGCAGAATAAGCGGCCGATAATACAACAGCCAAAATATATAAAGAGAAGTATGCTATTTTTAACGATGATCTATTTGGAATGTCTAAAATATAAACGAATAATTTTTTTTGCGTAAAATATAATTATTCAAAAAAAAAAAAGAAAAAAAAAACAGAAAAAAAAGAAATTAAATAAAGCAAAAAATTTAAATAAAACCTGTTAATCCCTGTTGACAAAATATACTCCATATATCCAGAAAATTGTCGTACAATAAATATCCAATGTCACGATTAGTTCCAATTTTTATTTTAAACAGAATCAATAATATCGTTGTTACAACCAATATTCCAAATATAGCAATCCAAATAGAATTAGAGAAGGTCTAAGAAGTGAAAAAGAAAATTCTTCTTTTTTAATTCGTAGAGTTTAACGCGTGAATAAAAAAAAAAAAAAAAAAGAAAAAAAAAAGAAAAAAGAAGAAAAGAAAAAAAGTAAGATAGTAAGGAAAAAGCAAAATTTCGTTTAGGCGATTATCGTACTAGGAAATACGATGACCATTTAATCGAGAATATGTGTGGTTCCTGTATGTAAAGATAATTTTTCGAGAGCAAAAGTGGAAAAGTGAAGTCAACGGCATTCAATCTGGCATTTGTCATGGAAAATCCAGCAAAACAAATATCGGCACGTCCAGAATTTAATTCCCCAATTGCTCCGGACCAAGTATTTTCTTTTGGATTCCATCTTCCGAATGTTTTTACCTCGGAAGTGATATTGAAATTAAAATTTAAAATAAGACGAAGTTCTTTTAACAATCGTCCTAACAGACCCTCTAATTTGCCAGCTTTGTTTACAAATAGAAAATCCGATGACTAAAGAAGAAAAAAATGAAATAATAATGACGAATACGATCGATTAATAAATAGAAAGACAAGATATCTTACCTTAACAATAATGACTTTCAATGTGTAACCCTTCATATTATATCTTCTCTCGTAAAGAGATTCTGGAACCATTTTAATGATTCCATTCTCTAAATTCCAAGTTGCTAAATCATCGATCTGGGTTTGATTCGAATCGATCGAATACCACTCTCGTAAAATATTTTCTGTACCGCAACGTACCAACATTTCCGTATTGAATTTCAAATGAAATATATTATATGGTGGACTGTGACAATAAACGTGATCATTTGCCTTGTTGGTAAACAATACTAACCAGACACCAAAGGACATATCAAACGTTCTCGTTACTAAAGAGAACTCGTTAATGGCATCGTAATTGGATATAATCGCGATGTAATGTGGTCGTACGACTTGATTTACATAATACGACGATTCGTTCAATCTCGAAAAATAAAAGCTAGTGGTCGTAAAACCTTCGCGAGAAAGTGCACGCGTCAATTTGAACGTCGTCGTTGTCATTTCCATGTCTGAAAGGGGGAAAAAAAAAGAAAAAAAAAAAGAAAAAAAAAAGAAAGTAAAAACAAAATAAATATAAAAATGACAATACAGTAGAATTATTAATTACCTTTTATCGAATCGGGATATAATAAAATTATAGAGTCCGTTCGATATAATTTGCAAATGTCGATGATGAGTGAAATGTTTTCGTCGTCGATAGAAAAAAATTCATACGTTCTCGCGATCTTCGGAAGAAGAGAAAAAAAAAAGAGTATTTTTAAACGCACAAGAAACGTCATTTTTTTTTTTTTATCCTCTAAATATATCGATCGATGATTGATCATACGTTCTAATTTTACGAAGCGACGTGTAAAACGTACGTAACGTCAAAGAGGATCGTACGAGACTAAATTTCTAATTTAATGAAAGTAACTTATCGTGACTGTCGTACGAATAGAAATATATATATATATATATGTATATACGTGACTTATGTGTATGTGCGTATTCTTGAGAAGAAAATAATTTTATGAGTACTGGCACTGGTATGTTAACATCGATCGGTTAAAGAAGTTTATTTTAATTTTCTTTTTTTTCTTATCTTTTTTTCTTTTTTACTTCATGTGCATAGTAAATTTGTAAATATATATATATATATTTGCAAATATATACAAATGTGCAATTGTATTTATTTAAAAAAATAACATTGTCCTTCCATCGAAATAATTTAATAGTTATTCTGATCGATATAAATGAGGTAAGAGCACTTGAGAAAATGATTTTCGATTAATACACGCCATATTTCAATTATTCTTTATGCGCAAACATTATGTTATAATAAAAAATTATTATAATCGATTAAAAAACTGTTCAATGATATATAAATATTCGATTGTAACATTAAGTTGATAATATGTTTCTTAACAATTTCAAGGATCAATTCAGGATATACAATAAATGGATATGATAATATCGTTTCTTAAGGTATATTTAATTCACGTCAATTATTTTATAAAATTGTTGCAAATATAATATCAAAAAATTTGCATTCATGGCCATTTTTAATCGAGTTAAACATTTGATAATAATATTACCAACTGTAATATTAGAACAAATATACTTAATTATTATATTGTAATTTAAAGTTTCTCAACACATAATCCGTAATCACAATATTAGAAGTTTAAACGATAACTGCTACCTTAAAAAAGTTTTCGTAAAAAGTTTTTTCTTTTTTTACGAAAAATCGACATCCTTCTAAAAGAATTAAAATATGTGTACAATCGATGTACAATCGACGAACAAAGAAAATCTGTAATACACAAGTCCACGCGTTTAATCTTAATCGAAGAGATTCTATATAAAATTTTAAAACTGTGCTAAATAATACAAAAGCATAGATATGCTTACAGATATTTCTATATTCTATTTGAAAAAATTATAATCAGAATATAAAGATTCATTGATAAAAAGTATTAACGTTATTGCGATTAATTCACGTACGACTTCTCTTATATTTTGCAATATTTTTTATACTTTTCTTCCTTTTTCCATAAAATCCTGACGATCTTTTCAATAATATATTATGTACAATCGATATCTTTTTTCTTTTACGATAGAAAATATACTTTTCTATGATTAGAACGCAAATACTTGTGATTGTACCAATTAGAATGAAAAAAATGAGCGATATAACGCTAGTTAAACCAACCGATTCGTATTTCAATATAAAATTCAATTCCTTTTTTAATATCATATCTTTTAAGCGATTCATCATTCCATTGTTAAAGAATTTCTGCAAACTATGAATGATCTTATGATTTAACGTACGACAAAAGTAATTTCATATTTATACACGTTTACTTACTGAAAATTGATGACTTCAGTGTACGGATTATTTTTAGATAATATAATACCTAAATATTCTATACGTCCTGCATTAATACAAACCGTGTTACATGACGTTTTAAATTTAATAGCTTTCCTTTCTACAACTGACGCGTACAGTGCAATTTTTTGATTTTCACAAACCTGTAATTTAACATAACTAGTATTAAAAATAAAACTATATATTTATATATATATATATATATATATATAAAATCTTTTGTTTTTTTGTTTTGTTTTTTTTGTCTTTTTTAATATTTCATCGTACTCTTTCAAATCCTTCCTTGATAGTTAATGGCAATTTATTTTCTTCCGGTATCAACTTCATCAATTTCTTTGAAAATGGATCCCTCGCGTGCTATAAATAAATATTTTTTTTTATTTATCTTCATATAATTATTTTATACGATTGAATGACGAATATAAAATACGTATCATACTCACTGTAAATATATCATAATTAGACCCACCACGAAAGACAATAAATTGATAAGTACCGTCTTCGATTAAGCCTTCTAACGAATGAAAGGGTAATACGGAGATAGAAGATGTTAAAAAGCTTATCAAAGCGGCAGAATAAGCGGCCGATAAGACAACAGCCAAAAGAAATATAGAAAAATACGCTATTCTTAACGATGATCTATCTGGAAAGTCTAAAATACTTTTTTAATATACTAACTTACTTATGTATATAATTATTAAAAAAAAAAAAAGAAAAAAAAAGAAAAAACTAAATGAAACGATAAAGTTAATCAAAAAAAAAAAAAAGAGAAAAAGAACTAAATGAATAATACCTTCCAGTCCCTGTTGACAGAATATACCCCAAATCTTTAGAAATTTATCGGACAATAATTGTCCAATGTTATGATCCGTACCAATTTTTATTTTGAGAAAAATTAATACGATCGTTGCAAAAGTTATTATTCCAAATATGGCAATCCAAATGGTATAGGAGAAAGTCTAAAATAGAAAGAAAAAAGAAAATTAAGTAATATCTTTTCAATTAATTTACTTGACAAAATGAACGACAATGACGAAAAAAAAAAAAAAATTATAAACATAGAAAAATGATTTTATTTAATAATTTTATCTTACTTGAAAATAGGATGACCATTTGATCGTGAATTTATTTGGTTCTTTGATGTAAATACAATGTTTCGTTAAAATAAGAGGAAAGGTAAAATCTACGACGTTCAATCTTGCACTGGTCATAGAAAAATCTGATATAGAAATGTCAGCTCGTCCTGCATATATCTCTCCGATTGCTCCTGACCATGTATTTTTTTTTGAATTCCATATTCCGTACTCGTCTACGCTCGAGACAATTTTCAAACTAAAATTAAGAGTTACGGAAAGTTCTTTTAATGTTTTGCCAAATGTTCCTTCTAATTCGTTATTCTCATCAACATTTACGAACGGCGAGTGCTGCGAATTTGTAAAGAGAAATAATGAAATATATTAAATGATATGCGAATCTTTTTAATAATAATAATAATAATAATAATAATAATAATAATAATAATAATAATAATAATAATAATAGAAAAAAGAAAAAAGAAAAGGATAGAAAATATTTATAACGAAAAATATCTCACCTTGACTATAACGGCCCTCATGGTCAAACCGTGCAAATTATATCTTCTATCGTAAAGAGAATTCTTTACAACTTTGGTCATACCATTTTCTAAATTCCAAATTGTTAAATCATCGATCTCGGTTCGATTAGAATCAATCGAATACCATTCACGTAAAATATTTTCTGTGCCACAACGTACTAACATTTCCGAGTTGAATTTTAAATGAAATATGTTACCTGGCGGACTGTGACAATAATCAAAACCGCGCCCCTTGTAAATAAATAATACTAACCAGGCGGCAAAGGACATATCGAATGTATTTGTCGCTAAAGAGAATTCATTGATAGCGTCGTAATTAGATATAACTGCGATGTAATGCGGTCGTACGATTCGTTTTACGTAATACGATGATTCGTGCAATTGAGAAAAGTACAAATTTGAGGTAGTAAAACCATCGCGAGAAAGTGCACGAGTCCATTTGAATATCGTCGTTGTCATTTCCATTTCTGTGTAAAAAAAAAAAAAAAAAAAGAAAAAAGAAAGAAACAAAAAACAAAAAAAGAAAAAAAAAAAAGAGGAAAAGACAAAGAAGGAATATGAAAAAGCAACGAAGATTAAACAAAAGGAAAGAAATGAAATTGTGAAATAATTATCGTACCTTTTATCGATTCCCCGTATAAAAATATTATCGATTTGGTTTCGTATAATTTGCAAACGTCGATGATAAGAGGAACACCTTCGTCGCCGACAGATAATAATTCGTAGGATCTTATGACTTTCGGTAGTAATAAAAGTACGACGAACATCTTCAATTCCCCAATGAACGTCATTTTTCTTTTTCCTTTTTTTTCCTTTCCTTTCAAATACGATCGAAATATTTTATTTTTGCGACAGAATAAGATAATCCCGGGAGATTAAATTTCTAGACGTTCGAACAGAGAAATTATTTTCATTGCAAATATTGCAATGGTTGCAACAAATTTGAATGCAGGCTACGTCTATTGGTTTGCTTATTCGTGTGAGAAATATGATTTTATGCCTGTTAACATTGACCTATCGATGTCGATCTATTAATATATTTTATTTTCTGGTATACTTTTTATCATTTTTTTTTTTATTTTTTTCTTTTTTTTTCCTTTTTTCTTTTTTTTTTTTTTTACCTTTTTCCTACCGCAATGTTTGATTGTATTATTGATGATTCTGATGATTCTATGAAAATAGGAATTATTTCATGCTACACTCTTCGACAGCTCTTTCAATGATATATTTAAAAGGATTGCAATTGGCATATGACAACAAAAACAACATGTGTTATTAGTCTTGTAAAAAAAAAAAAAAAAAAAAAAAAAAAAAAAACGGAAAGAAAAAAACATTATTAAATATTACCTTAGGATTTCGTGAATATTTCTTTCGTTGCTTGAAAAAATGTTTCCAGGGAAACCGAGATATTTAATTAGAAATTATTGAAAAATAAGTAATCACAAACTTTATTTATTTTTAAATAAGAACTGATATTTATTTTTATCCAAAAGAAAAGAAAAAAAAAAAAAAGAAAAAAAGAGAAGAAAAAATATCTTTGACAAAATATCTTTGCAGTCAAAAGTTTATTTGTTAATACTTATCAGATTAATGAAAAGTTGATTGATCTAATTAACACGTGCTCGATGTTAGATCTATGTAAAATCGAGATTGAAGAAAATTGATGGCTTATTAATATACGACGTGCGTTATTATCACTTCCAATTAATTTTTTATCCAAATTATTTGATTCAATGTGAATAATAATTCGTTGAGACGATATACGGCAAGCTAATGGAAATAATTCTAACTTCGTTGAATTATTAAATTAAATTGAAAGAATAAAAAACTTTAGATAGAGTTTTGTACCTTTCCTTTTCTTTTTTTTTTTCTCTTTTTCTTTTTTCAATGAAATCTATCGATAAAATAAAATTAAATGAAATTAATGAAACAATTGTGCCGTTTATTAATCGACTTATGTATGTAATGTAAGTTTCTTTGATTATGACACGTTAAAAAATTGTATATAATTTTAAAAATATTTTCTTAACTTGAAGCTTTTAATTTGGATTAATGACACGTCAAAGAACAGAGTGCATTTTTTAATTACAAAAATAATTTTTAAAAATAAATATATTTTACCTTGTTGGCATATTATTATATGATTATAATATACTCACAGTTATTATTATTATCTTCCTTTTTATCGTAAATGTCATTAAAATTAATGTCAATTAAATCATAAAACAATAAGAATTGTAAAAAAAGTTTCTACTATTATAGAATCACTTATGTACACACGTCTGTTATTTATGTTATTGCATTAAAACACGTAATACGTTTACATCGCGTACGATTATAAAATGCAATATTTTAACAAGAACGTAGCACTTCGATTAAAATAATAAAATAGTCGTTCTAATCGATATAAACGAGGCCAAGCACTTGACAAAATGATTTCGAACTGTCACACGTTAGAACACACACACACATATATATACTTTATATATTATACTAATTATTTCTTATGCGCATACGCGAACTTATCGTAGATAAGTAGAAAATTATTATAGTCGATTAAGGTTATATATATATGTATATATATATATACATGCATATGTATAAATATTTTATAATATAATCTTTAAATACGTAATATGTTTAATATAAATTTAATTTATAAATAATATAAATCGATACAATATAAGAATGTAATAAAATCAATTAAAAGGATATTAATTTCACATCAATTTCGTTTTATAATATATATATTATATGTAACAGATTTATTCGATTACATTACGATTTCTATCACGTTGATACGTGCAAAATTTTTTGATTTTGTCTTATATTGAAAAAAAAAAAATAGATATGTTTATTGAAAAATTTCATTATTCAATAATAACGCTCTGTCACGATTCGTACATAAAAATGATGAATATAATTTCTTTTTTCTTTGTTTTTTTTTTTCTGTTGTTTTTTCAACTACGAGAGAGATACACTTCGAAAGAATGAAAAAATATCCATACACTTGCCTTCGACAAATAATATATATATATATATTTGTTATACACTGATAGGTGTACACGTTTAATTTTAATCTAAAAAAAATTCTATTTACAATTTTAAAACTGTGCCAAATAATACAAAAACATAGATATGCGTATAGTTGTTTCTGCTTATGTGTTCCATAGAGGAAATTACAATCGGAATAATAATATTCATTGACAAACGGGAAATTGGTATTGTCATGAGTAATTCACGCGATTACATTTGCGATTTCTTTTGTCTTTCGCAATATTTTTTAAAGTTTTCTTCCTTTCTATATAAAATTCTAACGAATTAAATAACGACATACGTTTTACCATAGACATTTTTTTCTTTTTACGAATGAAAATATACTTTTCTATGATTAAAATGAATATACTCAAAATAATACCAATTAATATGAGAAAAATAGGCGATATAATACTGACTATCTGAACTGGTTGCTGCTGCATCATATCGTTAAAATTCTTCTTAAATGTCACATCTTTTAAACGATTCATTATTCCGTTGTTGAAAAATTTCTGCAAGCTAGAACAAAATTGTACGATACGATTAATGTAAAATATAATAAATTCATTTTATTTCTTACTTACTGAAAATTGATGATACCGATGAATGGATTATGTTTAGATAAAATAATAGATAAACTGTCTATACGTCCTGTTTCAATAGAAACGACATTACATGGTATTTTAAAATTTACAACCTTTTTTATTTCGTCGGATGTATAGATCGCTTGTTTCCGATTTTTACAAATCTGTAATATAACAATAACGGGGATTATCAATAAAATTACATGAGTATACGAGTTATTCCTTTTTTCTTTTTTTCTTTTTTTTTTGTAGTAAGTACTTCATCGTACACTTCTAAATCCTTCTAATACAGTTATTGGTAACTTTTCCTCTTCTGGCATTAACTTCATTAATGTCTTCGCAAGTGGATCTGCTGAATTCTGTAAATAAATTTTTATTTACAATAAATATATATATATATATATATATTTATTGTAAATATTTATTAGTTATTATATATGCATATATACATATATATACTACAACTACTTAAGACTTATCATACTCACTGCAAATATATCGTAGTCGGCCGTACCACGAATAACAATAAATTGATAAGATTCATCTTCAACGAAATTCTCTAATGATCGAAAAGGTAAGACATGGATAACGGACGTTAAAAAGCTTATCAAAGCAGCAGAATAAGCGGCCGATAAGATCACGGCCAAAAGAAATATAGAGAAGTATGTTATTCTTAACGATAATCTTTGTGGAAAGTCTAAAATCCAAAAGTTATATTTTTCTAATTTTTCTAAGTATTAAATTTTTCTAATTTTTCTAAGTATAATAATTAAAAAAAAAAAACAAGAAAAAAAGAAGAAAATTATATTGATCGAATATCGTGAAATATTTTATCAAACCTTGGAGTCCCTGTTGACAAAATATACCCCAAATTTCTAAAAAATTGTCCGATAATAAGTGTCCAATATTACGATCGGTTTCATTTTTTATTTTCAGAAAAATTAATAGGACCGTTGTAAAAACTAATACTCCAAAAATAGCAATCCAAATGGAATGAGAGAAAGTCTAAAAAAAAAAAAAAAAAGAATAATAATAAAATTTTTCTTTTGTTTTAATTCATTCAGAGAAAAATTATGAATTAGAAATTATCAATACCAAAAAATAAGATGACCATTTAATCGCGAATATCTTTGGTTCTTTAATGTATAGAAAATTTTTTGATAGTAAAAGAGGAAACGTGAAGTCAACGACATTCAATCTGGCACTGGTCATAGAAAAATCTGAAATAGAAATATCAGCACGTCCGACGTATAATTCCCCGATTGCTCCGGACCAAGTATTTTTTTTTGCATTCCAACTTCCATGCTCGTTTACTTCGGAAACAATTTTGAAACTACAATTTAATGTCACACAAAGTTCTGTTAATATTCTACCGAACATGCCGTCCAATTGGCCATTCTTATTTAAGTTTATGAACGGTGAATCCTACATTGAAAAATAAAAAAAAACAAGAAAAGAAATAATCAAGAATTAAACATATACGAATTTTATTTTGAATTGAACATATACAAAAAAATATTATATATATATATATATATATATATATATATATATATATTAGAAGAAAAAAACATTACCTTAACTATAACAGTTCTCATAACCAAACCCTGTAAACTGTATCTTCTATCGTAAAGAGAATCTGAAACCATTTTAACGATTCCTTTCTCCAAACTCCAATGTGCAAAATCATCGATCTCGGTTCGATTAGAATCGATCGAATACCATTCACGTAAAATATTTTCGTCACCGCAACGGACCAACATTTCCGTGTTGAATTTCAAATGAAATATATTACCCGGTGGATTGTGACAATAATCGAAACTATATCCCTTGTAAATGAATAATACAAGCCATACTGCATAAGGCATATTAAAATTATTGTTTGCTAAGGAGAACTGATTAATCGCATTGTTATTAGTTATAACCGCGACATAATGGGGTCGTACGATTCGTTTAATGTAGTACGATGTTTTGTGTAATTCTGAAAAGTATAAGGACACGGTCAGAAAACCTTCACGAGAAAGTGCACGCATCCATTTGAGTAACGTCGTTGCAACTTCCATTTCTGAGTAAAAAAAAAAAAGAAAAAGAGAAAATGAAAATAGTAAAACTAAATAAATAGTGAATAAAAAAGAAATATATATATATATATATATATTTATATATATATATAATTTTCCTACCTTCTATCGATTGGGCGTATAAGAATATTATAGATTTAGTTCCGTGTAATTTGGAAATGTCGATGATCAAAGATATGTATTCGTCGTCGTAAGAACGTCGTAATTCAAGCTCGTAAGATCTCACCATCAACGGGAGAAAAAGTATAAGAATAAAAATGAGAACGAGTATCTTTAATCGTATAAAGAACGTCATCTCTTCTTTTTTTTCTTTCTCTTTTATTATTTATTTATTTATCTTTTTATTTATTTATTCTTTTTTTTTTTTCTTTTTAATTCGAATCGAACGAATCGACGATAACCGCGTGTGCGATGATATTGACGGAAAAATGTTTTTACACGACAACAGAAGTACGTTCGATTGTTCGATATGTCGTTCGAAGCGAAATGAAGCCAGTGGTTGTTTACATATTCGTGCGAAAAATAATAGAAAAAAAGAAAAAAAGAAAAAAAAACTAATGTTATCTGTATTAGTATTGATTTATTTACGATCGATTAATGAACGGTCCTTTTCACTTTATCCTTATGTTTCTTTTTCTTCTTTGTTATAACGCGTATATAAGTATATACCACGTATAAGTACGTGTGTGTATATTTACATATCTACATGAACATGTTTATATGTTATCTTTCGTTTGATTCATAACGATTGTAAAAGATAACACAATGTAAACAATGTTGCAATTCCATTGGAATAATTATAATAGACGTTCTAATCGATATAAGTACGATCGATAAAATAACCATCCAACCAAATGATTTCAGATCATTAAATGTTTGAACAAATAAATATGAGGGTCGTTTAAAACAACGTTTCTCAACTTGTTCTATATGTTAAACGATAAATATTAACTTATCCGGAAGCAAGAAATGTAATGATTAATTTATAAAAATTTTCTATAATTTATTTGCATTAAACAATTGTATCTTTGAAATATAAATTTGACGATAAAAAATTTTTAAAACATATTATAAACATTTGTGCAAACGTATTAAATCGTACATCCAAAAGAGTTGAGAAATACTGATCTAGAAAGTAATAACTCTTTATGTAGAGAAGCCATATAAAACATTTGTTTAGACTAGGATTATTTATTTATAGATTCACTCATACGTTGACATAAACCAACGATTTATATTTCAATATTATTAATTCTGTGAGAACTGTCAAACGTAAGTACGGCCAGCATTATGAAGCACTATCTTATTATTCCAATGAAAAATTAATTGTAATTGCATGGTATATTTCTTTTGTAAAGAAATTAAATAAGAAATCAAATTTTAATTAAAAAGTAAAGAAATATCGTTTGCGGAGTTTTAATCATTTAACTTATGGTATACGAATGTTTTAAGAATTTAGATATGTAAATCGTAATAAATTTTGAAAAATAAATATTTAATTAATTAATATTGTCGTCGTTTAAAATATTTTTCAAAATGCCGATGTGAAAATTTCATGAATCCAGACGAACAATGAGATCTGTTATATTTACCCTTTTCCAAGTGTTGTAAAAAATATTGATTTCGAAGGAGTAAAAAGAAATTCATTGTTGAATTACAGCTGTGTATAAAGAGTTGCATATTGTCAGGCGCAAAAACAAATAACGTGGTTTTTTTTTCCTGTAGTCAGCACCGCATTGCGTAGAAGTAGAAATGCTTCTACTCGTACGAAAATATTTTTGAACACTTTACGATACCAAAATATTCTGTTCAAAATCCAAACTTGATTTCGAGCGATCATTATATTTTTTATAAATTGAATGAATTCTAAAAATAACGTTGTTTTTCACGAAAAGCTGATTTATAAAGGACGCCACAATGCTACGATGCTCACGCTAACACGCTGCGGAAGTTTATGACGGACGTATTGTATCAAATATGGGCGTGCGCAGAGATTATATATTGAAATGTAAGTATGTGTATAAATAAGTATGTATGTATATATATATATATATACATATGTAGTGTAAATAGAAGTATATACTATAATATATTTGTATTAAATAAGTATAAAAATTATCGAGATATAAATTCGATATTAAAAAATTCTATGCAAATAAAAAAATTCGTCGAAAAGTAACATTAGTGTACTTAATATTTTACGAGGGTACATTTACGAATTGCTTGATAATTTGTGATATTTTTTATACTTTTTTTTTAATTCCTTTTTTTCATAAACTCCTGACGATTTAATAGATATAACAAATGTTATCATTGATATTCTACCTTCATTTAGCAAGAAAAAAATTAACATTTCTATGATAAGAATATAGATACTCAATAATAATATCAAAATAATTGGATAAAGGATATAAGCGCAATAAGGCTGATTATGCGAAACAATTGATCCTCGATAACTTCACATTTTAAATGTCGTATTTTTTTAAACGATTCATCATTTCATTATTGATAAATTTCTGCAAGCTAGAATGAGCTTGTGCTTTAACGTACGATAAATGAATATTTACATTATTAATTGTGTATCCTCTGAAAATTGATAATATCTATGAACGGAAAGTATTTCGATAAAATCATATTTACACTTTCTAAACGTCTTGTTACAATAGAAATCAAATTACAGGGCATTTTAACATTTACGATTATCTACATTAATAATTCGTCGTTCGTGTGAAATGATTAGTTTTCAATATTTACGAATCTGCAATTTAATAACAAATAATAATAATAATAATAATAATAATAATATAAAAATAATGTTATAACAAATTAATACTCCAAAGGTAGAGAACAAAATGGAATGATCGAAAGCCTAAAAAAAAATAGCAACTTTTTAATTCATATCCAGATTAGAAAACATTATATTTTTATTATAAAAACTCTCATTATGAAACCCTGTAAATTATATCTTCTTCTTTCACGATGAGAAGTTAAAGTAATTTTAGTTAATCCTTTCTCTAAGCTCCTTGTCAGTAAATCGTCAATTCATATCGATCGAATATCATCCTCGAAAAATATATTTTCTGTAACAGTCCAACATTTACAAGTTTAATTTTAAATGTGATATATTATCTGATGGACTGTAACAATAATCGAAGCCATCTTCCTTGTAAACGAATATCACTAACATTTATATATTTACATACATACTTTATACATTAACGTAATTATAGATACGATAATAAAAATGCAATGTTTTGAAATAAAATGTTGTACTCATTAAAATAATAAATTAACATAAATCGATTAATATAAACGAGGTAATTATTTGACAAAATGATTTATTACCAACAAATATTGTATTCTAATTTTAGTCTATATGCGAATGCATGTGATTATCGTAGACAAATATTAGAAAATAACAAGCAAAATGAAAAATTCGTTTAAAAACGAACATTAGCCTTGTCGTTAATAGTTCTCGCGTTGTCGTTTCCAATTCCTGTGATCTTTTGCAAAATTTTTTATATCTCTCTTCCTTTTCAAATTAATGCCTGACGATTTATTCGAAAGAGTACGATCTACCATTGACATCTTCTTCATCTTAGAAAAAAATATACATTTTTCTATGAACAAAATACAAATACTCAAAATGATACCAGTTTGAATGAAGAGAATAAGCGACATAACGCTATTTACGCAAACCGGTTCGTCCTTCTTCACATCATTGGATTTCTTCTTAAATGTCATATGCTTTAAACGATTCATCATTCCAATCTCGATAAATTTCTGCAAGCTAGAATGAGCTTTTGCTATAACGATAAATGCAATTGTACATTATTAATTGGTACTTACTGAAAATTGATAACCTTTGTGAATGGATTATTTCTGGATAAAATCATGGCTACATTCTCTACGCGTCCTGTAGTAATAGAAGCCAGGTTACATGGTATTTTAAGATATGCAATCTTCTGTACTTCCTCGGACGTGTAGATTGCTAGTTTCCGATTTTTACAAACCTGTGATTTAAATAATAGATATTAAAATAAAATTATATATATATATATATATATATATATATATATATATATATATATACTATTTCATTTTGTTTTCTTATAATACTTTAGCGTACTCTTTCAAATCCTTCCGTTACATTTGATGTCAATTTTTCTTCTTCTAACATCAACTTCATCAATTTCTTTTCAAGCGGATGTTCCGAATTCTAGAAATATATATTTTGACTTGTCTTCAAGTACTTATTATATATGTATATATATATATATACATAACAACGTAGATAAAAAATATAATACTCACTGCAAATTTATCATAACTAGACGTACCACGAAAAACGGAAAATTGATAAGTACCGTCTTCAACGAACGTCTCTAATGAATTAAAGGGTAATTTGTGGATACCGGTAGTTAAAAAGCTCGTCAAAGATGCAGAATAAGCGGCTGATAATACAACAGTCAAAAGAAGGATAGAAAAGTATGCTATTCTTAAAGAAGATCTATCAGGAAAATCTAAATCAAACAAATAATTTATATAAATATAACCATTAAAAAAAGAAAAGAAGTAGAACAAGAAAGAAACAATTGGAAGAAAATTTAAGAACTATTGTATGATACCTGCCAGACCCTGTTGACAAAATATACCCAAAATCTCCAAAAAATTGTCTGACAACAAATCTCTTACTTTAAGATCGCTTCCATTCTGTATTTTGAGAAAAATTAGTAAAACCGATCCGACAATTAATATCACCAATATAGCTATCCAAATGGAATAGGAGAATGCCTTAGAAAAATATCAATTTTTTAATTTCTAAAGGTTAACCAAAGAAAAAGAAAAAGCTTGATTGCCAGGTATCGTACTAGAATAAAAGATGACCATTTAATCGCAAATATTTGTGGTTCGCGAATGTAAAGATATTTTTTCGTAAGCAAAAGAGGAAGCGTAAAGTCGACAGCATTCAATCTGGGACCGGTAATAGTAAAATCTCCAATAGAAATGTCAGCACGTCCAGCATATAATTCTCCCACTGCTCCGGACCAGGTCTTTTCTTTAGAATTCCAATTTCCATATTCTTCTACTTCCGAGACAATGTTGACACTAAAATTGAGAGTCACACAAAGGTTTCTTAATATTTTACCTAATATTCCATCAAATTTGCCATCCTCGTTTACGATTAGGAACGACGAATCCTAGTGAAAAAGAAAATTATAAATGTAAATTTATTTACCTAGAAAATAGAAAATAAATTCACACTGAAGAATATTTTACCTTAATTATAACAGCTCTCATTATCAAACCCTGTAAATTATATCTTCTTTTATAAAGAGAATCTGGAGCAATTTTAGCTATTCCTTTTTCTAAGCTCCACGTTGCTAAATCGTTGATCTCGGTTCGATTCGTATCAATTGAATACCACTCTCGTAAAATATTTTCTGTACCGCAACGTACCAACATATTCGAGTTGAATCTTAAATGAAATATGTTACCTGTTGGACTGTGACAATAATCGGAGCCTTGTCCCTTGTAAATGAATAACACTAGCCATGTAGCAAAAGACATGTCAAATGTACTGGTTGCTAAGGAGAACTCATTAATCGCATTATAATTTGAAATTACAACGATATAATATGGTCGTATGATTTGCCTTACATAGTACAACGATTTATGAAATTCCGAAAAGTACAAGTTCGTAGACGTAAATCCTTCGCGAGAAAGTGCACGCATCCATTTAAAAATCATCGTTTTCATTTCCATTTCTGAGAAAAAGGAATACAATGATAATTCAAATGAAGAAATGAAAATTAAAAATATTATTATAACACCTTTCATTGAATCCGAGTACAAGAAAATTATTGATTTCATTCCGTATAATTTGCAAATGTCGATGATAAATGGAACTTGTTCTTCGCCGATAGAAAGAAATTCGTAAGATCTTGCGATTTTCATAGGAAGAAGAAGAAAAAAAGGAACGAGTTTTGTTAATTGTACAAAGAACTTCATTTTTTTCTTAATCGTATTTCTTAAATCGAACGAACCGACGGACAACGATGTAATGAAATTTATGAAGAAAATTCTTGCATGGCAACGCAGAAAGATCATACTTTATTAAATATTAATTGATGAAATGCTTATAACCACTTGGAATATTACGATCGTCATGCTGACTAGAATAAATGTTTCTTTTCCGAAGACAATAATTTTATGCGTTTCTATATTACTTTATCATCGATCGATTAATAAACGTTGTTTATATTTCTCCAATCCTTATTTCTTTTCATTTTCTTCTTTGATGAATGAAATATATTTATATATATATATATATATATATATATATATATATATATATATATATATATTATATATATATGTCCATCTATATTTGCGTATCTACCAACACGCGTTCAAAGCAAATGAATTTAAAATACATCGTCTTTAAAACAACATTATACTTCAATTAAAATAATTTATTAGTTCTGATCGATATAAACGAGAAAAGCACTTGAGAAAATGATTTTCAACTGTCACACGTTAGAAGAGATAAACCGGAACATAATATTCCAATTATTTTTTATTCGCAAGAATTGCGAGTTTATCGTAATTAAATAATTATTAAACAAATAAGGATGATCAAACGGTATATAAAAATTTTGATTATAACGATATATAGATCATTTATTTTAAATTACTATTATACAGAAGTATGATTATAATTACGTTATAATTGCGATCTAATGAAAAAGATTCTATTTTATTTTTAAAATGTGCTAAATAATGCTAAAATTTATAATACGTTTATGCGTGTTTTCATTTCATTAGAATATTACAATCGATGTACAAAGATTTATTTAGAATGAATATCAATGGTACTGTTAATATTTTACGCGTGCACATCTGCGATTCGTGTAATATTACGCAAAATTTTTTATACTTTTCTTCCTTTTAATATAATATACGGATGATTTTTTCAACGAAATAAGATCTAACATCGTCTCCTTCTTACTTTTATGAGCGAAAAAAACACTTCTCTATGATCAAAATGCAAATACTTAAAACCGTACCAATTAGAATAAATAAGATAAGTGATATTACGCTGGTTATGCGAACAGGTTGATGATATATTTTATCGTCAGATTCCTTTTTAAACGTCATATCTTTTAAACGATTTATCATACCATTGTTGATAAATTTTTGCAAGCTAGAACCAGCCAGTGCTTTAACGTATGATAAATGAAAATTTACATTATAAATAGTGTACTTACTGATAATTGATAACGTCTGTGAATTGATTGTGCTTAGATAAAATCATCCCTAAACTGTCTATACTTCCCATTTCAATAGAAATCAGGTTACATGGTATTTTATGAAATTCACTCCTTTCAACTTCGTCGATCGCATAAATTGCTAGTTTTTGATTTTTACAAATCTGTAATTTAGTAACAGGTATTACAAATAAAAAAAAAAAAATATATATATAAATATAAAATCTATTTTTTTTTTTAATATTTCTTCGTACTCTTCTAAATCCTTCCAAAATATTTACTGGCAATTTTTCATGTTTTATCATCAACTTCATCAATTTCTTTGCAAGCGAATATTCCGAATTCTACAAATAAATATATTTCTTTATCTTCATATATGTACTTATTGCTTTATACACATATATACTGTGTGTATCAAAAAAAAAAAAAAAAAAGAAAAAAAACAGGATTAATACGCATAATATTTACTGCAAATACGTCATAATCAGCTGATCCACGAACAACAGCAAGTTTATAACTACCGTCCGCAACAAAGTCCTCTAACGAATGAAAAGGTAATACGGTGGTAGCAGATGTTATAAAGCTTATCAAAGCCGCAGAATATGCGGCATTTAAGACTACAGCCAAAAGAAATATAGAATAGTATGCTATCCTTAACGAAGATCTATTAGGAAATTCTAAAGGAAACGAATAGTTTGTTGAAATATTATTAATGAAAAAAGAACTAAAAGAAAAATCTAGTAACATTGAATCAAACCTGCGAGTCCCTGTTGACAAAATATACCCCAAATGTTTAGAAATATATCGGCCAATAAATGTCCTATGTAACGATTCGATCCATATTTTATTTTGAGAAAAATTAATAATATCATTCCACAAAATGATATTACAAATATAGCAATCCAAACGGAATTGGAGAAAGCCTGATGAATAAGAAATTATTTAATTCGCGACAATTGAACTATGAAAAAAGTTAAGAAATATTAAAATTTCATTGCAATTTATCGTACGAGAAAATAAGACGTCCATTTGATCGCATATATCTGCGGTTTTTGAATGTAAAGATAACTTTTTGAAAGTAACAGAGGAAGAGTGAAGTCAACGACATTGAATCTTGCACTGGTAATAGAAAAATCTGAAATAGAAATGTCAGCACGTCCAGCATATAATTCCCCGATTGCTCCTGACCATGTATTTTTTTTTGAATTCCATATACCATACTCGTCAACTTCCGAGACAACGTTCAAACTAAAATTTAGAGTCATACAAAGTTCTTTTAATATTATACCAAACATACCGTCCAATTGGCCGTCCTTGTTTACATTTACGTATAGTGAATTCTGCGAGAAAGAAAAAGAAATAATAAAGAAAGAAATAAATCATTATTTTTATTTTGAGGAAAAAACAAATTTTTGATAGATCAAAATAAAACAATGATTTATTTTATATTTAATATGAAAATCGATAATATCTTCAGAATGTAAATATTTTACCTTAACTATAACAGCTCTCATGATCAGACCATGTAAATTATATCTTCTATCATGAAGTGAAGTAGGTAATATTCTGGTTATTCCTTTTTCTAAGCTCCATGTTGCTACATCGTCGATCTCGGTACGATTCGGATCGATCGAATACCAATCTCGTAAAATATTTTCTGTACCGCAACGGACCAACATTTCCGAGTTGAATCTTAAATTAAATATATTACCTGGCGGACTGTGACAAAAATCAAATCCATGTTTCTTGTAAATGAATATCACTAGCCATGCAGCAAAGGACATGTCGAAGGTACTAGTTGCTAAAGAAAATTCATTAAACCCATTGTAATCGGATATAACTACGATGTAATGTGGTCGTACAGTTCGCTCTACGTAATAAAGCGATTCGGCCAATTCTGAAAAGTATAAGTTCGAAGTCACAAAACCTTCGCGAGAAAGGGCACGCGTCCATTTGAACACAATCGTTGTCATTTCCATTTCTGAGGGAAAAAAGAAAAACGAAAAAAAAGTATAAAGATAATAAAAATAATAAGAAGAAAATGAGAAATATTATCTCGCACCTGTTATCGATTTGGCGAATAAGAAAATAATAGATTTTGTTTTGTATAATTTGCTAACTTCGATAAACAAAGGAACGTATTCGTCGCCGGTAGAAAGTAATTCGCTAGATCTTGCGATCGTCGGAAAAAAAAGAAGGAAAAGAAGAACAAATATCGTTAATCGTACGAAGTACCACATTTCTATCTGTTTTTTTTTGTTTTTCTATATCGATCAATAAATTTATAAATGACGACTATTCCTCGGATACACGATTAAGGTTGTCGAGAAATTCCTTGGAAAAGTGTTTACGCGACAGCGAACGAAGATCGTATGAGACTAAATTTGTAAACTTTTGAGAGATTTATGGTCTCTTCGATTATATCCTGATTGACGTACAGATATGAATGGACGTGACGTGTGTTAAAGAAAAAAAGATTAATTTATGAGTGCTGGCATTGATTTTTTATCGATCATTTATTAAATGTTTTTATCATTCTCCTCTTTTTCTTCCTTTCCATTCTTTTGTTGTCTTTTTTTTTCCTCCCTCAACGTGTGAATATAATCCTGCCTAGATCTACGTATCTACATGCACACTTTACAAATTTACCTTATTCTAGAAAGATAATAAAATGGAATATAATAAATAAAATATTGCACATATTAAAATAAATTAACATAAATCGATTAATATAAACTAGGCAATTATTTGACAAAATGATTTATTAATCAACAAACATTGTATTCTAATTTTTCTCTATATGCGAATGCATGTGATTATTGTAGACAATTATTGTAATAGATTAAAAATATGTGTAATATTAGAAAATTACAAGCAAAATGAAAAATTCGTTTAAAAACGAACATAAGCCTTTTCGTTAATAGTTCTCGCGTTGTCGTTTCCGATTCCTGTGATCTTTTGCAAAATTTTTTATATCTCTCTTCCTTTTCAAATTAATGCCTGACGATTTATTCGAAAGAGTACAATCTACCATTGACACCTTCTTCATCTTAGAAGAAAATATACATTTTTCTATGATCAGAATAAAAATACTCAAAATGATACCAGTTTGGATAAGGAGAATAATTGACATAATGCTGTTTATGCAAACCGGCTGATGCTTCTTCACATCACTGGATTTCTTCTTGAAGGACGTATCCTTCAAACGATTCATCATTCCATTCTCGATAAATTTCTGCAAACTAGAATGACCTTTTGATGTAACTATAAATGCAATTGTACATTATTAATGAGTACTTACTGAAAATTGATAATCTTTGTGAATGGATTGTTTTTAGATAAAATCATGGCTACACTCTCTACGCGTCCTGTATCAATAGAAGCCAGGTTACATGGTATTTTAAGATATGCAATCTTCTGTACTTCCTCGGACGTGTAGATTGCTAGTTTCCGATTTTTACAAACCTGTGATTTAAATAACAGATATTAAAATAAAATTATATATATATATATATATATATATATATATATACTATTTCATTTTGTTTTCTTATAATACTTTAGCGTACTCTTTCAAATCCTTCCGTTACATTTGGTGTCAATTTTTCTTCTTCTACCATCAACTTCATCAATTTCTTTTCAAACGGATGTTCCGAATTCTAGAAATATATATTTTGACTTGTCTTCATGTACTTATTATATATATATATATATACATAACAGCTTAGATAAAAAATATAATACTCACTGCAAATTTATCATAACTAGACGTACCACGAAAAACGGAAAATTGATAAGTACCGTCTTCAACGAACGTCTCTAATGAATTAAAGGGTAATTTGTGGATACCGGTAGTTAAAAAGCTCGTCAAAGATGCAGAATAAGCGGCTGATAATACAACAGTCAAAAGAAGGATAGAAAAGTATGCTATTCTTAAAGAAGATCTATCAGGAAAATCTAAATCAAACAAATAATTTATATAAATATAATCATTAAAAAAACAAAAAGAAGTAGGACAAGAAAGAAACAATTGGAAGAAAATTTAAGAAATATTATTTGATACCTGCCAGTCCCTGTTGACAAAATATACCCAAAATCTCCAAAAAATTGTCTGACAATAAATCTCTTATTTTACGATCGGTTCCATTCTTTATTTTGAGAAAAATTAATAAAATCGATCCAACAATTAATATCACCAACATAGCTATCCAAATGGAATAGGAGAATGCCTTAGAAAAATATCAATTTTTTAATTTCTAAAGGTTAAGCAAAGAAAAAGAAAAAGTTTGATTGCCAGGTATCGTACTAGAATAAAAGATGACCATTTAATCGCAAATATTTGTGGTTCGCGAATGTAAAGACATTTTTTCGTAAGCAAAAGAGGAAGCGTAAAGTCTACAGCATTCAATCTGGGACCGGTAATAGTAAAATCTCCAATAGAAATGTCAGCACGTCCAGCATATAATTCTCCCACTGCTCCGGACCAGGTCTTTTCTTTAGAATTCCAATTTCCATATTCTTCTACTTCCGAGACAATGTTGACACTAAAATTGAGAGTCACACAAAGATTTCTTAATATTCTACCTAATATCCCATCCAATTTGCCATCCTCGTTTACGATTAGGAACGACGAATCCTAGTGAAAAAGAAAATAATAAATGTAAATTTATTTAACTAGAAAATAGAAAATAAATTCACACTGAAGAATATTTTACCTTAACTATAACAGCTCTCATTACCAAACCCTGTAAATTATATCTCCTTTTATAAAGAGAATCTGGAGCAATTTTAGCTATTCCTTTTTCTAAGCTCCACGTTGCTAAATCATTGATCTCGGTTCGATTCGTATCAATCGAATACCACTCTCGTAAAATATTTTCTGTACCGCAACGTACCAACATATTCGAGTCGAATCTTAAATGAAATATGTTACCTGGTGGACTGTGACAATAATCGGAGCCTTGTCCCTTGTAAATGAATAACACTAGCCATGTAGCAAAAGACATGTCAAATGTACTGGTTGCTAAAGAGAACTCATTAATCGCATTATAATTTGAAATCACAGCGATATAATACGGTCGTATGATTCGCCCTACATAATACAACGATTTGTGCAATTCCGAAAAGTTCAAGTTCGTAGACGTAAATCCTTCGCGAGAAATTGCACGCGTCCATTTAAAAATCATCGTTTTCATTTCCATTTCTGAGAAAAAGGAATACAATGATAATTCAAATGAAGAAATGAAAATTAAAAATATTATTATAACACCTTTCATTGAATCCGAGTACAAGAAAATTATTGATTTCATTCCGTATAATTTGCAAATGTCGATGATAAAAGGAACTTGTTCTTCGCCGATAGAAAGAAATTCGTAAGATCTTGCGATTTTCGTAGAAAGAAGAAGAATAAAAGGAACGAGTTTCGTTAATTGTACAAAGAACCTCATTTTTTCCTTGTGTATTTCTCAAATCGAAAGAATCGGACTAGTTCTCAATTAGAACGAATGGGCAGACAACGATATAATAAAATTTATGAAGAAAATTCTTACACGACAAGAATGAAGAATACTCTTTATTAAATATTAATTGTTGAATGACTTATAAACCATTTGGAATATTACGATCGTCATGCTGATAAGTATAAATGTTTCTCCTTCGAAGAAAATAATTTTATGCTTTCCTATATTAGTTTATCATCGATCGATTATTAAACGTTGTTTTTATTTCTTCAATGTTTATTCCTTTTAATTTAGATTTAAAACAAACTATTAGATGGACCATAAAGTAATGTCGCTTTTTTAAATTAAATTCAAACGTATAAATTTTTAACAAGTTTTTATTTTTAATCACAATCGAATATCGACATGCGCAGAAACGACATTACTTACCGGTCCATCTAATATTTAAAGCAAACGTTGTGAAAATAATGTGACCAGAACAGATCGTTTTAACCGTCGCATTTTTTTGGAAAAAGGTTGTCTTTAATAAATGCCTGACACTAAAAGTGATATAAGTCAAGTATCAGAAGAAACGTCATTAAAAAAATACTAGGCTTATATTAACGTGCAATGTTGAAATGCGATGAGATAGATCTAAAGATAAAAAGATAAGATTCCCCGACAAAAAAATGACATTTAATATTTATGTGAGTGTGCATGAATATTCTGCGTTATGTAAAATTGTAATCGTTATGTTTCGCACTTCAACGATCATTTTTATCCTTGCACTTTGCATCCAATGTAAATTTAATGATAGATCAATGATAATTATACAATAATACATATGATACAGCTATCGTATGCACATCCACTTGCGGATCAAATGGGATTATTGTCAACTACGTATATATATATATATATAGGTTTATTAAAAATAATTGATAATAAATCCACATAACACACTTCATTATCTATCATAAGATCCTTTATTAATTAGACGTTGATCACAACGTTGATATATGTATATAACATCTGCTTCTTCCCCGAAATACAAAAAATAAATATAGATAATACGTTTAAGAATTTAACTTGTACCGTTGGAGTTAAAATTAATCGTATTCTTTAGAATAGAATCGATATAATTCAACTCAATTATTTTAGTCGATTTAATTTCTTACTTTTCTTTTTCTTTTTCTTTTGTTCTTTTAATTTCTTAAGCGTGAGATCTTTTATCTTTTTATTTTTATCTTAATTTATATTAATTGGCGTATAAGAATCATTCATCAAATTATCGACACGTTTCACATATTGCCTTTACAATGCTCTCCTTTCTTTACTTCATTTATTTATTTATTTTTTTTTTTTTATTTTCTTTTTTTTTTATTGTTTTTTTCTTCTTTTTTAGATAAATACCATAACGACGATCGAATTACAAAAAATTATTTACACTTTACTTCTTCAAATAGAAACGTAAAATACGATTCCGTTTTCTTTTTTTCCTTTTTAACAAATTCGAAAACCTTCCATCGAATTCGGTTCGATCGAGCAATATGCAAAGGCAATTTTTAAAAATACTGATTAATCTTTTATCTAAATATATACGAGCATAATAACATCAAGTCTTATCATTTGTAAATGTAGAGATTCTTTTTTCTTTTTTCTTTATTCTTTTTTGTTTTTTTTTTTTTTTTGTTTTTTCATTTTAATCGTGGAAGCAGCGAGTAGGTCGTTTAATCTTACGAGCAAGCTTAAAAAATGGCTATTAATATATCTAGACGACTGAAAATTTAAATGTTCACCGATGTCGATCATTATTAGATTCTACTCGGTAGATTATGATCTAGCAAACGGAGAACATTGTCAATTATTTATCATTATCATTATCATTATCATTATCATTATCATTATCATTATCATCGTCATTATTATTATTATATCAATATACAACACACTGCGCCAGTTATTTATATATATATATATATATATATATATATATATAGATAACACAAGTTGGTGCTACGAAGCTATAGTATTTGAAAAAAAAACAAAAAAAAAAAAAAAGAAAATATATATATATTTATATAAAAGTAAATAATAATAAACTAAAGTTCTACAATCGAACGACCTCTCTACTGACATCCCAGAAGTAGACTTATTTAAATATTATATCCTAGTAAATATCACAACCTGAAACTCTACAACTATTGTCATTACACATAATGGAAAATGAATGATAAATGAACACTTGAGAAAATAAAGACCATTCGTTAGGAGAAAGAGATTCATCGGTGATATTTAAGAAGATGAAATACGATAGAAAAGTAAGATAAATTGAAAATCATAGATTTACAGAATATTTAAGAATCGTCACTATCACTATCTTGACGTTCACGTGGTTCTTCTTCGAGAGGAGCATTGTCAACATTTCTTTCAGTATTAAACCATCTATTAACGAACCACCAATGAACCGACAATCTACTATGATTGCACTCTGCTCTTTCACATCTACCAAGAAATTGACAAATCCTAGCTAGATTCTGATTTCTTATACAAGAATCGTCGCACGTATGTTGACGTTCCGTTGAACGATTCATGAGACAAACGGAAGCTGATGAAGTAGAAGGATTATAAGAGGTCGAGGCAAAGATCGATCTGATATTCGCTGAAGTACCAGCATCTGTTGATCCTCCTGTTGATGTTGAAGCAGCTGTAGTATCAGAATTACCAGTGGGTGCTGAACCAGAATAAGATCGATCGATTCTACCAATGTGAATCGTTGCATAAAGCGGATTATTAACGGATGAACCAATTCTATTGATCCAATCGACATATCTTCCAACTTGCATCGATGAACTCGAACTAGGCATTGTCTTATTTCGGCAAACACAACCAGCAGGACTTCGATGATGAGAATCTTTACCTCTGGAAGATGATGATTCGGTTGATCGATTATTACCAGATGAGAGTTTTGCATAATCGCCACGACAAAAGGGACATTTGCAATTTCTAGATAACTGATATATATACTGTCTCGCAGTATTGTTGGTATCTTGATAACGAAGTCTATTATGTAAACTCTGACAATGATGACAGATATATCTCGAATCCAAATGTCTACAATAAGGACAAGAACAATTGTAACCCAAAGGATAAGCTGATCGTCTGGTAGAAGCATAAGCGAGATTTTCGCTGGAAAAACAATTTCGTCCGAGTCTTCCCAAACGGCTTTGACAAAATTGATTGCCCATTCTGGATGAATCTAAATAAACGTGTCGTGGTTGATCGTATTGATTAAAATTTCTCGAGTCGATCTCGTTCAAGAAATGACCACCAGAGATCAGATTCAACATTTGATATTTCAAACGAGAATAAGCTCTATTACGGCAAGAAGATCGATCGTCGATTCTCTCGTATATATGATCATCCGTAGGATTCTGATTATTTGGATTATTAACAATATCGTTACGACCACCCTCAGCGTTATGTTCACCTTCGTTTTCTTCGTCGTCGTCGTCGTCGTTGTCCAATCTCTCGTAAATATTTTCTTCTGGTTCCTGATGTTGTCGAGCTCTGTTATAATTCCTAACAAGATCAATTGGATTTTGATAATTAGGATTAAGATTCGGATGTGGTTGAGCCGCACCAGGAGGCCGATTTTGAAAATTACGTGCAACGCGAACAGCATTCTGATAAGACTCATCCCTTTCCTGATTTCTATTTTGATTCATAACTACAACAGCCAATTCCCCGTTCTCGTATCTCTGACAAACGCAACGAGCTCCTTGACAAGCGTGACTACCAGCACGATATTGCTGAGGAAGATTCTGATCTAAATTTTGCACACCGCTGGGCTCGGCCTCTCGTAATGCCTCAGACACGTCGACAATCGAGTCTGCATTTTGTTCTGTCACGTGCCCAGCGGATTGCAGACCTCACATTGTCGTAGCAGGTGCCATTGGTTTGTCAATTATTGCAACGCCGGCATAACTACGACCAATTCCCATACAAGTTGGTAATGTTGTCCAGGTATCGGTTCTAGGTGAATAAACTTCAACGGATGCTAAACTTGATAAACCGTCATCACCACCAACAACATATAGAAGCCCATTCAAAGCTACAACCCCTATATAATAAATTGTTTGTATTAATATATATGTATATTCTATAATTTTACAATTCATACCAATTCTTTAATGACTTTACTAACCAGCGTTTCTTCTACAATGAGCCATATCGCTTATTGGAGTCCATTGATTAGTTTCTGGATTAAAAGCTTCTACACTTTTTCTTATTAATGGACCATCGTGTCCACCAACCGCATATAATATTCCATCCAGTACACCTACACCTGCTCCACTACGTCGTGCAGACATTTCAGGTACTGGCTTCCATTGATCTTTATCCGGATTATAACATTCTACGCTGGATAAACATTGTCGCGATGCTCCGTCGTATCCACCGACCTAAAAAAAAAACATTTATATTGTTCAATTGAAATAAGATTTATATCCGTATAGAGGAAAAAAGAAAAAAAGAAAAGGAAAAACTCACGGCATAAAGAAGACCTTTTACGACACCAACACCGACACTACTTCTACGTGTTGACATTGGTGCTATCATTCGCCATTCGTGACTATTTGGATCGTATACTTCGGCTGAATTTAATCCGGTAGAACCATCGAAACCACCAACCTATAAAATATTTACAAATTCGTATGGATTTGTATTTCTATATAAATAAAAAAGAAAAAAAAAAAAAATATATATATATATATATAAAGTATTTACAGCATAAATGCAATTGCCAAGAACTGCAACGCCAAGAGTTGATCTTCTCGCAGACATTTCTGGACAAGGTGACCATTGATCGGTGGCTGCATCATAAATATCTACTGTACGAACTCTTAAAGAACCATTAAAGCCTCCTACGGCATAAACGCGATCACCGAGTACAGATAATCCTATGTGAAAAGAAATAGAATGGATTTTTAAAGGAATTCAAATATAATTGACTTGTTAACTTTGTTATAATATAATT